CTTCGGTTTCTGCATGCTTTCCTTTGCTAGCAAATAAGAATGTTTTCAATGGTGCGTAATCCATGGACAGGAGCTGTAAAGAAGCCGTCTCTAAGTGTTATCGTCAGAGATGCTGAAGAGGAGTGCTGCTACACAATTCTATCTCTAAGCTCATTTAATTGGCTTATTTCTAGAGCTCCCACAGCAGTGTTACCCAGGGTTTGAGTTCAGAATCCTGTATTCGCCTGCTTATGGACCTTTCCTGTTGCTTTTGGAGCGTGATCAGATTTCAGTTGATTAAATGAAACGGGGAAAGCTCTGGGGAAAGAAAGGGGAAAATGTTGAGACCCTGCTCTTCATAGGTCCAGCGTACCATGGAGGATGCTTTGGATATTCACTAACTGAAGATCAGAGTATCCACCATTTATATTCCTGTTGATGTATGTAAAACTGAGCTAAAAGGGATGTCACTTCAAACACACGCTGTTTGAGGATCCATACTCAGTATGGTATCTGATGTTTGAAAGAATCGGAAATTAAACCAAAACCAGCATAGTGTGATTTTGAAAGGGCACGCCTTCCTCCTAGCCCAGTATCCAAATCCGCCCCACCTTCCTGACTCTCTATTTCTGCCTCCTACCTCCTGCTCCTGCCCTGGCACCGAACCGGCAGGCAGGCAGGCCCAGCCGGGTGGGTGGCACGGGCCTCAGGGCCGCCTGTGACGCAGGAACGAGGCGCTCGTTCCCGTGCAGCTCCCCATGCCTGCATGATGCATGATGAAATGAGGGGGAAGCAGCCCAGCCCTGGCCTCGTATTCCTGATGAGTGTCCTCTTTCCAAGGCGTGAGCGGTGTCTCAGTGGTGCGTAATTTACCTTATGGGCAAATTTCATTCTCTGCTATCGTAGTTCACTTGCACGCCTCTAACTTTAGATAGGAAGAGCAATGCTGCCGGTATTTGGTACCGATGGCAAACAGGTCTGGCAGAGCTTCCCAGGTGGTTGTTATTGATGCATTCCACCATCTGCAAGAATTCCTGTTATTGTCATCATCATCTCCATTTGCTAATTTAATTAAAATACCCACTCCAGAACCTGAAATGAGATTAGGTTCCTATTACACCCGATGCTGTACAAAATTATGATGGATGACGATTTCCAGCCTGAACAAGCTTATGGGTTCATTATATTGCAGAATGGCCTGTAAAACCTACTTGTTTAAAAAAACTGTCTTGACCATTTGCGTGTTATTTAGGCTGGTACTTGCTCTCCAGCAGCAGTAATCAACGTGATAGCATAGATTTTAAATAAACAGAGAAAAAATCTGTTCCCAACATTGATAATGTTTCATAAAGAAAAAAAAAGAAAATAGAGTTTACTAGCAACTTATTTTCAAATTTTTCTTTGCCTTTCTGTTTGATTTTTGAAGACCATAATATAATTTCAGCTGCACTGGTGAAATGAGCTGAAATTATTATTTCAAAGCCCAGTCTTTAATTAAGAAGTACCTGCAAATACATAATCTTTCTAACTTCAGCCAGACCATTTTAAAATGATGAAGAGTTATAAGGGGCATAAAATTAAATGGCAATATTTTGTTCAGATAAAGAAATACAAATCTACAGAAGGAAATATATTAGAAAGAATAAAATTTGTGGACTTTGAGGTCAGCAACTAGCTCTGATAGAATCCAATAGATTGACATTTTGAAAATGACATCATTGTTGAGCAATCAATCTTCACCATTCTACAGCTCCTCCTTCTCCTCCTCCTCCTCATTTTACATTTCATAATTACCTTCATTGCTTTTTGAAATCATGGAGGAAAAAAAACACACAAAGGGATCCTGACAGAATTTGGCTATGTAAACCACACAGACGTCAAAGGCAAGGGAGTGACAAAGATGAGGAAAACATCACTTAATGATGGTTGTGAAACGCAGTGTCAGAAAATCGGGAAAGCGATTGTGGTTACTCCCAGAGTTTTAGCAGCTTTTCCTTCTCACTTGTTCGCTCTGCCACTGTCACTGTACATATCGGTAGTCTGGGTTCTGCTTTTCCCTCTCTCCATCATTCCAGCCTGCTGTTTAGCCAAAAAGGAGGTCTAGCAACAAGCAGTCAATGTTATGGCATAGTCCTTATACTGCGGCACAGACAGTGGTAACCCATAAAGGGAATAAGGCTCATCCGCTTCCACAGAAGAAAAAAAAAAAAACTATAAAGACAGATTATGCAATGGGACTCAAAAAAGAAGTGACCAATTGAACGCATTCATGGCATACAATGTCTGTAATCTGTTGAGGACTGGTAGAAAATACCTCAAAAAACAACTAGAAACTCAGTGGAAATTCCTTCTCTATTGCTTTGACTGCAGTGAGTTCAGAGCAAAAGGTGTCAATGAAAGATGTTGTTAAGATGCGCCTAGGACATGACTCAGTTTGAGACTTGCAGATTTCTACATAGCTAAATGTCTAAACTTCTATTATATGCCTTGCTTAAGCTCGATGCCCCACAGATGGGTATCTAGTGCCATTTTAGATGCCCACATGTGTCCCACCTGGTTCTCAACTGCTGCTGCATTGGTGCTGGAAGCTAGCCCCGTGTAGACATCCCAGGTTCCCTAAGGCACCTTAGGTGGCACTGGGCAAATGATTCATACCCTAAATATCCACTGACTACAGCCTGAGTTTAAACAGCCATTCTGGCTGTAGCTATAATCAGTGCTTAGACATTTACCATAAGTATAAACACCTACCCATTAACATTAAATTTAAGAGTCTTAATCTTGAAACTCTCCCCACAGTCTAGGTCTTTCAAGATGTACCACAGCTTTCCTATATATTTCTGTGGTAATTTGGCACCTGAATTTTTCTAAGAATCCGATTCTGCCTTTCACTCTTTGGCTTGGTCCCTGGGTTTGGTACCCTTATTATAGAAAGTCTACAGCTGCCTGCAGTAGGGGTCCGGTTTTTACCTTCTGCTACAGCATGAGTAGACAGAGGAACAGTAGAAGCAGCCTTGGCTTCTGTCCTAAGAAACAGTGAAGATTAATATAGCAAACCGGGGGTATATCAGACACCGGGAGAATGAAGTGAGATTGAATGACGCTCCAACTACAGGCATAAGGCTTCATAAATGTCTCAGTTTAAAAACACCAACATTTTATGGTCACTCTCTATTCAGGTCATCCCTGAAAATAACACATAAGCCCTCTTTCTTCTCCTCCTTCCTCCAGACATATGCTTTAGCTTTAAATATTTTGAATACCGATATTTTTTCCGACTGTGATCTTAAGATTATGGACAAAACCAAAAAGGGTTTGAGATAAACAGATGTCAGAACACATTACAGCATCCCAAAGCTGTAGCTCATTTGTACTAGTAGAGGAAACTCTTCTTGCCATGCAAAAACCATAATGATAAGATAAAAAAGATGGAAAAAAGTTTTACCATTTAGTTTATTGCATACATTAAAATATGCAGCTGCTACAACAATCACTGTATTGCACTGTTTTCCTACAGAATATCTGCTGTGCAATTCCTTTCATTTGTTCTTACACATGTAGGGTCTGATTCATTGGCCTACTGCATTTAGTGAAAAATTGACCACTCTTTTCAGTAGGCTATGGGGCGTCTGCTGGTTTCTTACTATTAGTTACATGCTTTCTGTAGCAGTTCATTCTTTCAGTGTTTGTCACTCAGAAAATATGCAGCTGACTATAGGACAGAATGACTTTTTTTAGAAGGCACTAAAAATTTGAACAACCTTCCAACCTAATAATAGTTTTACATACCATTAACAGAAAAAGACAAAATTATTAGAGTTGTTATTTAGCTGCTTGTTAATTTTTATAGAAGAGTTACTACTGCTTACTACAGTTTTTTTTTTTTTCTGATAAAATGTTCATAACAGTGAGGTAGAAAATAACTTGCTTACGAATAGTACGAAATTTTATCATGCAGCTTGCTGCTGAACAGAGATCTCAACTTACCAGCATCTACAGTTTTAAAATTGGCCTCATGAAAGCGCATAAACATAGCCGAAGAAAACTGAGAATGTACACTGACATTTTTTGCTCAGCCCAAGGATGTAAGTGTATGTTACGTCTGTAAGCAGACCTACTCATTTCTTTGGAAACAAGCAAACAAAAGAGCATGCAGAATCTTAGGATTGTCAGGGAAAAGAAATTAAAAAAACAAAACATAAAACATCATAATACCTATTGATATCTGGAGTTGGAGTACCGAGCGCAGTTCCTGTCCTCCCTCTTCCCCCTTCTTCTAACTCCCTTTATGGAGTAGGAGTAGAAAAGATATGGAGCAAAGCAAAAAGGGTGTTCAGAGGTATGGAGCAGCCACCTTGCACACACAGATCAAACAGGCAAAGATTCCATGGGTTTCAGTGGACACTACTGAGGAATTCAGGATTGTATCTCCCCTGTGTAGCCTTTGGCTCAGGGGCATATCCCTGTGGGCTCGAAAAACAATGTGAGAAGTAATGTGAAAAACATCGGTGTAACCTATCGGAGAACCGGTGTTCCTCTCTTACCTGCTGTTGGCCACTAGGTAGACATTTGATCTCACCTGTAGTTGCATCCTTATGCCTTTTTGTATTTGACATACACCCTATGTAACTTTGTAAATCAGCACCACCTGCTTTGTGTAAAAATCAGACAATTGCCTGTGAACAAAGTCTCTTCACAACCAGGCAGCAACTATTTCAGGATATCTGAGGAACAGTAGGGACAGGGTCCTCTTTGGAGCTGATTACAGCCAATTTTCAAATGCTTGTTGGCATCACATAACAAACGCAAGACTTTAATAAGGTGTGTGTGCTGGGGCAAACGTTGTGGACGGTGAGTCACAGAATGGCATGTCTATTTAAACTGGGGATCTGCCCAAGCCAGCTGTTTTAAAAAAATTAGAAAATAAGAAGAGAAGTACTAGCTAAGTGGATGTTAAAGAATATTGATGAGAAATGCTATGATATAGCCTATATTTTCTACAGTGCACGTGAAGGCTCTGGTCATTCCTGGTACAAGTCTACTGTAGATGTCCTGGAACAAAAGATCCCATGAGCTAAGACTAGTTTCACAGCTTTCCTGAACCAAGGGTAAGAAAATACATAGATCAAGGGGTTGCAGGCAGAATTGAAGTAAGCAAACCAAATTAGGACGTCAAACAGAACTGGGGGGGTAATGAAGGCCAGAAGACTGTCTACCATGGTGTCAATAGCAAAGGGCCACCAGCAGAGAAGGTAGACTCCTACAGCTACCCCAAGAGTCTTTGCTGCTTTCCGTTCACTCTTGGATGCTCTGATGTGTAGCTGAGACCCGATACTCCTGCTCATGTTGTTTATCAGCCTGGCTTGCTTGTTAGCCACAGTAAATATTTTTACATACCGAACTTCCATTACAAGGTAAGGAAAGAATACTGGAAAGTTCAACCACCCCCAGAGCTTGTTGAACAGCAGCTGACAACTACCAACACAGGGCATGCCTCGCAAAAAATGGCCCAGTCCTTCTGCAATCGCTTTAATGTAGAGGAAGACAGAGGTATAAACCACAGGCACTGCCCACCCCACCCCAGTGTAAATGCAGGCCACTCTTATGGTGAACTTGGTGGGGCAGGGCAAAGGGTCACAGATGGCACAGTGCCGATCAATGGAAGTAAAACACAGATGAAATATGGAGGTCAAGCAAAAAAGTGTGTCCAGAAAGGTGTGCAGCCTACAGAAGTCATCTACGAAATACCAGCAGCTCTCTACGGACCGGATGGTGCCGAAGGGCAGCACAGTCAGCCCCAGGAGGAGGTCGGCAAGGGCGAGGGAGAGGAGCGGGTGGTTGGTGGGGGCGTGCAGGGCTTTGAAATGGGAAACAACAACGAAGACAAGCAGGTTCCCCAGCACCATGATCAGCGTGCCCAAGGCACAGGCCAGATAAATGGCCAGCTGGACCCCAAAGGAGTGTAGGGTCCTGTAGCAGGAGCCATTCGCCTCGTAGCACAAGGTGACAAGCATCCCCTCCTCAGCACTGGGGCCCTGGGCTGAGCTCATGCCAGCCTGCCCAGGTCCCACTGCCTCCCCCGGCTCTGCCACAAGCCTGGAAAAATATTCACCTTCCAGCAGAGGTCCCAAATGACTAACCTGAAAAAAAGGTAATAAAAAGGCAGGTTAGAAGGAGAGATGTCTTTTACTCAAATACTTTTATTAAAGCCATTGGAGAGTGTCCATATTTCAAGCGAAAAAATGAGCCTGATTTATCTGTTTTATATCTCTATTGAAATAAAGCAGCTCCAGATCAGTGTATTCAATTTTTGTGGCATCATTTGTTATATTATATTTTGGTTTTCTTTCAGCCAATACCACGAGTAGTGCAGGAAATGCAGCAAATCCAGAGGTGTGTGGGCAAGCAGTCAACGAAGAGAAGGTCTGCCTTAGAAGGAAAACCAGTGCTGAGTAACAGGCATTGCAAGCCAAAGCTCCTTAAGGGATTTGAAAGCTGACTCTAGTATAATGGTACACTGGTTCTTGTGAATTTCCCTGGAAATGAAGTTCCAATTTAGTTATGATTCTTTTTATTAAGTAGGAGCTGTGAAGTGATTATTCTAAAACAAGTAATATCTAATTGCAAAGGAAAACCCCTCAGGGCAAGTTGCTCATTTTATAGTGTTCTGGCTATGGGGATATATAAGGATATCCATTGTGTTGATGGCATAAATATTCAGCAAGGCAAACAGAAATATTGTTATATGCTCTAAAGATTGCCCCTGCTTTTTACTTATGAAATTGCTATTTAAGTTTTAAGTTATTTTATTTTCAATTTGAACTCTAAGAAATATATTAATGGATTATAATGGATTATTCCAGTAGTCTTTTTAATACAGCAGATAGCGGAACAGTATGATTTTTAACAGAGACAACTACAGTTAAATACATGACATTTTTCTATATGTATTTTTGCTCTTGAAATGACTGGTATAATAGCTGGAAATTATTCCCACCTTTCCCATCCTTCCCAGCAGCAACAAAACATAATAGCAAATCTCTCTTAATTGTATTTCCATAAACTTTTAAATCAGGAATACTTACAGTAAAGTATCTCTTTTTGTAGAATGAGAGCTGTACTGCAGTGCGCTGAAATCCTTTTCTAAGTACCTTTCTACTGCCTGAGTGGAAAGCATGAGAAGTTACATAAACCAGATGGAGAGAGAGTCCCTATAGGTGACTAATATACCTTAGGGGCATAGAGAGACTGTTGTGTATTTGGCAAAAATTGCCATTTTCTAAGACGAAGTTTAAATGCACACATGCTCAGCTGCTGTTGAATCTCTGAAGATTTATATCAGAGTTTGCTGTGAATTTTCTTTCTTCAGGTGTTCCTGCAAGAAGATGCAGCTAATGCCAGCTCATCCTGGGGCATCAGTGACCCTCACCCCATGGAGGCCTCCCTTGCCTCTCCTGAGCCTCGGTCTCTCCAAAACCATGTCTTTCACTCCAGAAGGAGGTAGATCAGGTACCTGTGGATTTTCATTGCTTCCCCCATAGCAGTCCCCATTTCTACCCACAGGATAAGCTGGCAGAAGAGGCGAATACAGCAGCTTTCACTCCTGGATGATTTTGTGGTATTTCTTTGATGCAGTGGAATGGTCTGTTTTAACGTGGACATTAGAGAGACAAATACCACTCAGGAAAGCCCTGGATTTTTCATCCTAAGCAGGATACCGGGTATTAAAACAAGCTTCTCACTTCTCAGTGAAAGTTTTCCCGGTGCTTAGATCCTCCACTCTCATCCCCTGCTCAGTCAGGGCAAGCTCATACCAGTTCCTTAAGGGACTCCGATGGTACATCTCTCGGAGCTTGTCTTCTTCA